AGATGGAGAAAAGAAGCAAGGGCAAGACAGAGGCAACAGCATAAAAAAGTCCTGAAGTGCTAAAAAAGTAAATTTCTTTCTGTTCTTCACCAGAAAAAAAAAAAAAGCATAAAGTGTGCTAGGTACAAACTACTATGTATAAAATGCGTTTTGCCAACTCATTAACAACTTTGGGTCATTGATCATTTATTACCACTACGGATGCTCAACCTGGAAAAATGCACAGATGCACGTACGTACACGCAAAGCTCCACACATATCAATAATTTCAGGGGTCCATCCACAGAATCAAGAGTAGCGGGTGCTGCTTCAAGGTCAGAGCCACAGACAATGGAATGGTCTAATAATAGGTTTATTTTCCATAGAAACCAAAGCTTGGTATGGAATTTCATACAACCCCGTGCAACTCTGGACCCTGAAGTATCTAATCAAAAAACTTAAACTGTGAACTCATAGAAGACTGAGATGAATAGAACACAGAGAACTTCACAGCTGCGTCTCAAATCAAAGAAGGGCTAAAGTGGACAATCACAGAGAGGTGGTTCTTTGTCTGAGAAGCAGACCTGTGAAGGACGAGGAGGCAGGTCCTCTGGCCCTGAGGAGGAGATGAGGCTGAGACACAATGTAAAAACAGAACGGCTTTGTACTCACATGGTGAAGGAGCCTGGGGGGGCAGACACTCTCCGCAGGTCCGCAGCTTGCACCTGATGGATACTAGAGGCAGCAGGGAATGAGCAGCGAAGACAGTCAGCAAAACAGCGTGGACAGACAGGGAACAAGCCGGGAGAGAGAAAGAGAGACACACAAAATTTAAACAGAACTTAAATGAGCGCGTCACCAAACAGTGAATGAAAAGAAAAGGAAAACCAAGCCAGCCACAGAAAGAATCCAAAAAGCCAGTGATAGCGACGAAGCCAACAGGACACACGGCAGGGCCGGTTCTCGGGCAAGCCGCAGACTGGGGCACGAGGCGGGGTGCCTGCAGCTGCCGCAGGATCGTGGATGCTGCGCGGGGCTGCGGGGTACCACGGTCCTCTCGGGCTCTAGGTCTCAGAGGGCATCCGTCTGTGCGTGTGCAGACACACACATGCGCGCACACACACACATACACACAAGTGGTAGGCTGGCCCAGTCAACTCATCTTTGAGCAGAATCAAGGTAAGTTGAATCGTTTAACATAGTCCTCATGATTCCAGGGCTTTGCTGAAATGTTCATGTCAGAAGAACAACTATCTTGAGAAGAGCCACCCAACAGAAACTTAAAGGTCATACCAAGAAAGCCTAATTTCATCACAATGATTCTGTAATTCCATTGATACTCTTGGCAGTAGAGTGAAACCACAGACTTCTCTCTGTTCTCTACCCCTCCTTTAAAAAGAAATAAAATACCAAAGAGGGTCTTCCATGGCTACCACAACAGATAAAATGTGGAACTGAAGAAGTGAAACCCCACGTTTCCTGCCACTTTTATGTTATTAGTAACAACTCTTACTCTCTCAGACCATTTGAATGGTTTCATTATAACACTTTTCCCCAATCCGTCTTTTCCCTATAACCCTACTCCCTCATTTCTGCTGGATATGTAAATTCTCATATGAAGCCTCCCACGAATTAACTCCTTATTATCCTCAAAGGGCTATCAGTTATCACCAATAATACTTCTCAGCAGCCCAGGATGGTGGAACCCATTTGCCCAATTCAGAGTCTGCCAACTGAAAATCTTTCCCTTGGAGGATACAGTCACCCTTCACAATGCTGTCTTAATTGCTATAGAACTCAGGCTAAGGTCTTCCTAAGCACCCGAGTTAATGTAGAATTTCTGATCTCCTTCAAGAGTGCCTTTCAAATAGCATGATCAGACTTATCTGGCTATCATGTTACTAATACATGAATATGAACCTAGACAAACCTGCTCAATTACTTTTGGGGTGGATGATATTTATTAGAGTCATATCTGAAGTAGGTTCATAAGCCATAAATGACATATAAAGGCATATGCTCCTGTATCAATGGGGTGGGCAGAGGAGGGGGTAGTGAACCTAATGGGCCTAGCTAGTCTTTTAGTTTGTATATGGTAATAGCAAATGGGATCACAAGCCAAAAAATATTTTTTTAGAATTTTTTTTTTCTTTTTGCAGAAGTAAAGCTCTAGGGGCATCATGAAAACCATTTAGCTGTTTCTCATGGGATTTTCTCCAGCCATCCATGTGTACCAGATCTTAAAATTCTTAAGTATATATCTTCCACTTACTACCATAAAATATGATCAAGAGATTTTCTATATTATTTCTATACTCACAAGGTTTTAGATTTACGTTATTTTGGAATCAATTTCTGAGAAATGCAACAGATGGAACAGTATAGATCTGATCTATGCGGGAGTCCCTTGTTCAACATGTAACATTAAGTCTCAGCAAACTGGCAGGCACTGGGGGCCCCTCGAGGAAAACCCCAGGGTCTCCCCAGAGAGCAGAGGAGACATGCCAACCAGTAATGACACTAGTTTTGATAAACGGTGTGACAGAAGTAATAAGAGCACTACAGGAACGCTGAGTGGTGTATTTAACAGCTGGAAGCAGAAGGAAAAGGATTTTCAGGGAAAGTGATATGTCTATGGGAGGATGAACTTGAGCAAAAGCTAACAGATGAAAAGAAAGGAAGGGGACACTTCAAGGAGAGCAACAGGAGAGCAAAAATATGATGATGTTCAAGACCGCCATACTGCTCTCTGTCTTGACTGCAAAGGTGAACTTTGCACAACGGTGGCCTAAAGACGAAAAGCTTGAAGGACTCAAAACCTGGAAGAAAACTCCTAAGAAGGTATCAGTGGCCAGGCTTCCCTTACATGGGAAACGCCACTTGGAAATTCGTGGAAAAGCTGGATTTCCAAACAGAACGAAGCAGTCTAATCACAGAGGGTGAATAAGAGTAGTGGGTGGCAGATTTTCTAAAAATGCAGTGTTGAAGGATAATTTTAATAATAAGTAGTAATCAAGATCTTTGCTAATCTTTAAGATATATATATATATATGTATATATATATATATATATATATATCCTGTTAAGAAATGGACAGAATATTATTACTGCCATTTCACAGAAGTCTATCTTCGAGTCTGAGGCTGCTTAGATGGAGGCACCACTGCCCCCTGGTGGCAAATAACTGCATTTTTTTAACATGAAATTGCTTCTTGAACACCCTCGCATCTAAATCTGTGAAGTCACATCATATGTACCACATGTACCAAAAAAACCAACTCTTTACATTTGATTTTAATATGTGAAGAAATCCCAAATAAATTCTTATTACAGTTTCTGAGCAAAAACAATCTTTTTTTCTCAAGGGCAAAAATTGTTTGAAACTAAACACCCCAAAATAATTACATGTCTGATAAGGCTATTAAGGGTAGAAGCACCAGGCATGAAAAAGAGCTGTTTGCCTGTAGATACTAAGACTTTTTAGCTCTGCTAACAAGTGATCTACAAGTGACCCAAAACAACCTGGACTATCTCAGAGAGGACTTTTCACTTTGTAGTTCAGATTTTCTCTCAAACCAAGAGTTCACAGCTTAACTCTGAACATTTTTAAGAGAGAGTATGGCCAGCTGTATACCCCTGCTGATACCTTGCCTGAAACTCATGAAGTGTATATCCAACCTAATAGCAGGGGAAGGCGGAGGATAGAAAAAGCAGCCGAAATGACCCAAGAATTTCTCTAGCTGCAAAATGTAAACAAAATGAAAAAGGCAACTACACCAGCCCTCTGGATAAGGATCTAGGAAAAACGCTGGGCAAGTACAGAGTGATTCTCGGATATGAGGGTACAGAGGAGAAAAGATCCCTCAAGCTTAGAAGCAGATGCTACAAAGGAAAACACTTTATGAGCCCTGTCGAACGCTACTCTTCAACATCTGCCTTTTCAGAACAGGGCTGAAGCTTTGGCAGAGAGTGATGACCCCTGTGTCATGGGTTCATTCTAGGCACTTCTATAGTTGCCACACTGACTCAATAAATACCTTGGCAAAGCATGCCCTTGCTTCGCAGGCACTAGAGGAAGCCAGCCATTCAGTACAAATACATAACCATGCATCCCAGGCCGCAAACAGGAGGAGCACCTCCGAGGGTACCTCACTGTGACACAAGCATGGCCAAAATTCAAACCTGGACAAGGCCTTACCTTAAGTCAGGTCAGGCATAGGGGCATGGTATATAGAAGAGGCTCAAAATGATGCCCCAAATTCCATGTTTCTTCACCCCTTTCTCTAACCCCAAAGAGACATTTTCAATAAAAAATCAGATAAAGGGACTCTATAAAATGCATGTGCACTCAAAATAGCCAGTTATTATCACCTTTTCCAAATCAGTTTATCAAAGCCCCCGAGAAAGGAAAGGGTCCAGGAGGGGAACATTTTCTTTAGGCATTGAGTCATGGCTCAGGTCTCATCTATTAGACAATAGGATGCTCTCCAGCAATGGCAAAACTGAGTCGAAGCATCAGAGAATATAGGACTCCAAACTGGGAGCATTGGGAAAGGGACAGTCCGCTAACAAGCAGAAGGGGATGCAACAAGGGGACAGGTGAGCCAAAACCCAGTTCTGCCAACCCTCTGCCCTGGAGAAACCAACAGTCTCCAGGTGACCAGGGTCAAGAAGAGGAGGCCAACAGGGCCTTCTTAAAATGAAAGAGAACACATTTAACCAGACAGGTTTTATGAGCCTGAATCACTCAATGATTTTCGGCTGGTCCCAGTCAATATATACTCAAGTGGGCGGTCGGTGAAAAAGCATCATCCATCGAACATACCATACAACAGTTACTCCTGAAAGAAGCGTGTGGTCACCGTACAGTGAACATGAAGAAGAAATGTGTGCGAGAGACAAGGGGCGGCTGAGTTTCCTGGACTGTTCTGCTTTCTCAGCATGGGGAGGCCTCCGACCATGCACATGCTCAGTGACCTGCTCTGCAAGGCCTCCGTGTTCACAAAGGTGGGCAGACTCACTCATTGAGTAAAGGCATGGACGTTCTCCGCTTGCTCTTCTGTACCATGTTGGCCTGATTCCTCAGTGAGATCCGAATCATAGCCGGGGCCAACCTACAGGGCTCCCCATCCACTTGCATGGGGATGGATTTGTAAGTCAGCAGCATGACCTCCCGACACTGGTGCAGCCTTTCTCCATGGCCCCCGACTTGCAGGGCAGCCTGTAAAGACAAGAGACAACAGGAAGCAAGAGCTTAGCACCTAAGAGTTACTCAGGAGGGACTCCCCTGGTGGTCCAGTGGTTTAGTCTTTGCCTTTCAATGTAGGGTGTGCTGGTTCAATCCCTGATCGGGGAGTGAAGATTCCACATGCCTTGCAGTCAAAACACCCAAACATAAAACAGAAGCTACATTGTAACAAATTCAGTAAAGACTTTAAATATGATACACATTAAAAAAATCTTAAAAAAAGAATTATTACTCAGAAAACCCAGAAACCCCAAGTCTACTGCATATAATCAAAAGGTCTTTGAAAAATACTTAGTGAAAGCTGTTAGTCATGAGTAAAATGGGAAACCTTGGGTAAATCATGCATACAAATAAGCTAAAATGTGAAAGCTTGATCGCAAATCCTCACTAACAGCCACTGTTTGCTTTTATGTATTTTCAGCCTTAATCATGTTAGTTTAATACAAAAGCTCTTTTTGTCATCTACTTCCATTAAATAACCAATGTGTGCAGAACAGAAAGAATATTAAAAAAGATAAAATACATAGTTTAAGACAGCTTCTATACTATAGCTAATATATAAATATATTTATATATTTATAATATATAATTATTATAGTTATATGTTAAATATGCATTATATTAAAATATGCTACCCATCCTTAGAAAAATTTTCAAACTTCAGGCAAGCTTTTCCTTCTTACCTAAAACCTCCTCAAACTACTTCTAATCTGTACAAGATCAATGAAATGCAAAATAATAATCCTCAGTTGGAAACATTCTGAAGAGTAAAGCAGCTTTGAGGATCAAAATCAAACACAATAAGAGCTTGGTTCACTACAGTAGCCACAAAATGAAAAGTCAAGCCAACATTAAAATTCTGCAACGAATTAGCATAACTTCTCTGCCTTAGTTAAAATAAAAAAAATCATTTTAGTACCACTCACCCTTACAGGGATGAACTAAAATCAAATAATATGTTTGGTTACAGCATACATAGAGAGTGCCCAAACTGTCTTATACAGTTTGAGGAACACTTTTATACACATATGTGAATCTCAATCCAGATTAAGTTTTAGGCAATTTACAGCAACCAGAAGGTTTCCAAGTGCTTCTGTCCAATCTCCGATCTATTTATACTCCTCTCACCTCCCACTAACTGATTTCTATTACCGTAGATTCAGTGTGTTTGAACTTGAAGTTCATATAAGATAAATCATACCATATGTAGTCTCATGTCTGACATCTTTTGCTTACCATTATTTCTGAGTAATAGAAAAGTGTATTTATCTACTCTTCTGCTGGTAAACATTTGGCTGTTTCAAGTTTGGGGCTATTATTGAAGTAAACTTTCTTGTGTATATCTCTTCGTGGATACATACATACAATGAGTAGAATTGCTATGCTGTAAGTTTAGATGTATATTTAACTATAGTAGATACTACTAACAGTTGTTCAATAAGGTTCTATTATAAGGCATTTTGAGTATCAATTTATAACAAAGTAAACAAACCTTAGAAGGAGTTAATACTAACTGTAGCTCAAAACCTAAAAGATTCACTTAAAAAGGAAAATCTACATACTATCAGCTTGTTTCCACACTTCTCACCTCTATCTTATGAATGAGGAATAAAAACTGTTAACTGAGATTTGTGAAGTCAACTTGTACTAATTTGGCTCCCAGGTATTTGTATTTATTTTGTGCTTTGAACTATTTCTGCACTCACATTAATCTGAACAATACAAACCTGTTTATGTATGCAAAGATAAAAGAAACACAAAGGAACAGAAAGGAGGGAAAGAAAATAGGACAAAAACTGAAAAGACCTTATCATTATTGAACACCTTTGATGTTAAAAAGCATTCAATTGTAACCCTTACATACAATTTTATTGAATTAGTAGAACAAGGAGGCAGAAGAGAATGAAGTGAGAATTTGTTAAAATTCTTTCTAGCCTATTACCCAATCCTGTTACTCAGCTGAAAGTTTCTCTGATTGTACTTAAATTACCCATTTAAGTTAACCTATGGATTTGATGCACTATTAGCATCTCCAGGACTTTCCCAATATATTTCCCTTGCCTTAAAGTAATTCTCAATCCAATATTTATCTGACAAAGTTGTATCCCTTCATTCACTGGGAGAAATACCAGTTTCTTTCTTTTTCCTCAGTCTTGACTAGGCCTAATAACGGAGAAGGCAATGGCACCCCACTCCAGTACTCTTGCCTGGAAAATCCCATGGACGGAGGAGCCTGGTGGGCTGCAGTCCATGGGGTCACTAAAAGTTGGGCATGACTGAGCGACTTCACTTTCACTTTCATGCACTGCGGAAGGAAATGGCAACCCACTCCACTGTTCTTGCCTGGAGAATCCCAGGGACGGGGGAGCCTGGTGGGCTGCCGTCTATGGGGTCGCACAGAGTCGGACACGACTGCAGCGACTTAGCAGCAGCAGCAGCAGTGACAAATAAAGGGCTTCTCTGGTAGCTCAGCTGGTAAAGAACCTGCCTGCAATGCAGGAGACCCCAGTTCGATCCCTGGGTCGGGCAGAACCCCTAGAGAAGGGAACAGCTACCCACTCTGGTATTCTTGCCTGGAGAATTCCATGGACAGAGGAGCCTGGAGGGCGACAGTCCATGGGGTCACAGAGTTGGACACAACTGAGTGACTTTCACTTTCACTTTTCAATGACAAATAAAAATGCAGAACCAGCCAAGTAAGTAAGAAGCTATTCCCTGGGTTTGAGAGGACTTGAAACTACTTAAATACTTTCCAACCCCTTGGTATCAGAAGGCTTCCACAGTACCATAGAGCATATTTAAACCATATTCTCAGCCTCAATGGTAGATCAATAGCAAGTGCAACAAACAGAGGTAAATAGCTGTCAGCGGCAGTTCCACTGGCATTTCAGAATCAATCCGAGATCGCTGGACAGGCACAAGAGGAATTATAGTAATTAGCTTCTCAGAATAAAGACAGCTCTATTAGTGTTAGCACAACCATAGTAATTTATTTTTGGAAGAAGCTAGACTAAAGGTAATTTTTAAAAGACTTACTAGAAATAGGTATTTTTCATCATTCAGATGGGTATAGGCTTCACATCCTTTAAGGCACAGGCTCTAACAACCATAATAATGTCCAAGATTTTTTAATTCACCAATAAAAAATCTACTGGTATATTAATGACAGATATTCAATTGTCTGTTCAACCTAACATGTATTATATTGTTGTGAAAATGTCAAACATTGCCTTTTTGGTAGTATATGAATTTGGAGGAAAACAAAGCTATTTACTGTCCTACAGTCACTAACAACTTTAAGTCCACAGGTATGGCATGAGATCTTCTGTCTTTCCACAATATGCTCCTCCCCAGAATACTATTCTTCATCTCTCTTCAAATCTCATCCTGCTTCTTACTGCTCGAGTCCTTATTCACCTGCTGCCAGGTGACAGGACGGACACCTCTGGGTTGGGAGAGGAGAAGAGAAACAAGGGGAGGTCCGCCAACATTTCCTTCTCTGCACTGCTGCTGGGCACAGACTCCCAGACCCAGTCCCTGAGCAAAAATGCCCAAGGCAGCAGTCAATGACGTGGATGTGAAACACGGGAGACAATCAACAACACAAAAATCTGTTCTTCTTCTTCTTTTTTAAAGATGAACAAAGTAATCTTGTAATATCAAATAACAAAAAAAAGGGGAAACTTGTTTTATTATTATTATAAGTGGGCTTTATCCCAGGAATGCAAGGATTCTTTAATATCCGCAAATCAATCAATGTAATACACCACATTAACAAATTGAAAGATAAAAACCATATGATTATCTCAATAGATGCAGAGAAAGCCTTTGACAAAATTCAACACCCATTTATGATTGAAACTCTCCAGAAAGCAGGAATAGAAGGAACATACCTCAACATAATAAAAGCTATATATGACAAACCCACAGCAAGCATTACCCTCAATGGTGAAAAATTGAAAGTGTTTCCCCTAAAATCAGGAACAAGACAAGGGTGCCCACTCTCACCACTACTATTCAACATAGTTTTGGAAGTGTTGGCCACAGCAATCAGGGCAGAAAAAGAAGTAAAAGGAATCCAGATAGGAAAAGAAGAAGTGAAACTCTCGCTGTTTGCAGATGACATGATCCTCTACATAGAAAACCCTAAAGACTCTACCAGAAAATTACTAGAGCTAATCAACGAATACAGTAAAGTTGCAGGATATAAAATTAACACACAGAAATCTCTTGCATTCCTATATACTAACAATGAGAAAACAGAAAGAGAAATTAAGGAAACAATACCATTCACCATTGCAACAAAAAGAATAAAATACTTAGGAGTATATCTACCTAAAGAAACAAAAGACCTATACACAGAAAACTATAAAACACTGATGAAAGAAATCAAAGAGGACACAAACAGATGGAGAAACATACCGTGTTCATGGATTGGAAGAATCAATATTGTCAAAATGGCTATACTACCCAAAGCAATCTATAGATTCAATGCAATCCCTATCAAACTACCAACAGTATTTTTCACAGAACTAGAACAAATAATTTCACAATTTGTATGGAAATACAAAAAACCTCGAATAGCCAAAGTAATCTTGAGAAAGAAGAATGGAACTGGAGGAATCAATCTGCCTGACTTCAGACTATACTACAAAGCCACAGTCATCAAGACAGTATGGTACTGGCACAAAGACAGAAATATAGATCAATGGAACAGAATAGAAAGCCCAGAGATAAATCCACGAACCTATGGTCACCTTATCTTTGACAAAGGAGGCAAGGATATACAATGGAAAAAAGACAACCTCTTTAACAAGTGGTGCTGGGAAAACTGGTCAACCACCTGTAAAAGAATGAAACTAGAACACTTTCTAACACCATACACAAAAATAAACTCAAAATGGATTAAAGATCTAAATGTAAGACCAGAAACTATAAAATTCCTAGAGGAGAACATAGGCAAAACACTCTCC